GGACAGGGACAGGCCGGCCGCCGGCAGCGCGGGCGCTGCTCAAACCGGCTCGCTCCCACCACCTAGCGGGCTCTCACCCTCCCGGGACACGAACGAGATTGCTCAGAGAGGTTACCACAGACCTGTGTACCCAGTATTTCATATATTTGTCATTAGCGACTGGCACTTCATTTTATTCAGAAAAATGACACTGTAAGAATGTGCCACTTTGCAGACATCCAAAATGGGGGGGGTACGCCCAGTTACTATGATCCACAWTAAATGATACACAGTGTAATCACTTTGATCAGCATCTATGTTCCCATTCACCAGCTCTTTTAAAGTACATTTTCTTACTTTTTTCCTTGTTTTATCATCAATATAAGCAACATTTCTTCTCCTTCAAATAAAAATACCTTTATTCTTTTCTAACAGGAGACCTATATTTGTATAAGAACCTTTAAAAACTTTTGTTATGAAGAAAGGGTTGTAGTATACAGAATCTCAAAAATTTTAGCTCAAGAGAAGTTTTTAGACATGTTGGATGACTCTGGTCAGCTTATTTCTCATAAACTTCTCTGAATGACCAATTGCACTTTTTCATGGGCCTTTTGGTAATGCWTTTATCCCTTTCATCAACCAGACGCTGATCAGCTTGTAATCCTGTCAAATATTTATCACTGAAAAATCTTCAAACATACTTTAGGAGGTAAAATATAAAAKCTACAATATTACTACATAAAACTTCTTAAGAAAGTGGTTTAACACCAGATCAGTGGATCCAAAAACTTTATTCCTTCATAGCATGCCTTAAGATTGTTGCTGTCCCCAATTCTATTATTGGGTTATCCAAATACTGAAACTACTGTAGCTACTTTATATAAACACTTCCTTGTCTTCTAAAAGCCACCATGAACAACATATTTGTTGGTACATGCAGGATCACAGAGGCCCCACTGCCTTGTCATATATGCATGAGAACTCCTTGCTTGGGATGACCTTAAATGACTCAATACGAATTATTTTCTCACCCCCCATTCACAGAAATTTAAGTCTTATTATTCCCATTAAAAATGGTTGTATTTCTAGTGATCATTCATTCTTTCAGCCTATCAAAAAGCACAGCATTAGTGACATGCTGTCATGTATTCATACTTCACTGTAATTCCTTAATATGCATCTGACAGCATATGGGCASTCCAACTACCAATGCTCTGATCAATTCCAGCCAGTCCACACCAGAGTATCATCCTCCTCAAAACCCAGTGGACAGCTTGGAATGGATCCAGAACAAAACATAAACATAACCTGGAACTAAACCAATGCTAGCAAGGTGCTCCCTTTCTCATTTCAAACACCAGTGCTCTTTACTTGCCGGACCCACTGGGTTTCATTCAACAGTGTGTGTGTGTAAGAAATACACTGCAAGATAAATCAGACTAGAACGACATCCTGCTCAGAAATCCAAGTTGGATTCATCCCCATGTCCTGTGCCTCTCTTGTAACAAATGCAAAAATAAATGCAKAGCACAGAACCAGCTTCAAGATGATTAGCCAGGCTTAAAAACAAGACTCCTGAMATTTAAAAAAAATTAAAAATACAAAAGTGGGCATCCAATTAACCATCCTTGTGCCTATTATGACTGGTCTTGTCTCCCTTTCTTCCCCTTCACTTCCTTTTCTCCTGGAGCCCTTTCTGTCGATGTAGGAAACAGTACTACAACATATTTAATCTAAAACTGAAGGAATTCAACCAGCAATCTGGTGTTCCAGGTACCTAACTGGAAACAGACTCAAAGAAASTGAGATTTTTATGGAATTACTCATTGAATAAAAGAGGCCAAGTTTACATTTAACACGGGACTAAGGATAAAAATGTAGGAATGAAAAGCAGGATTTGAACACCAAATACCTACATGCCTTGTCATTTTTTTTAATTAGTATTTAAATGACAGAAAAACTAAAGTCTTACGCTAACATTTATTGTTTACTATTAAAGGATGATACAATTTTTAGTAATTTCATGAGAAAAAAGCATACTTCTTTTCAATGTCTGTCCCAGCACAGTTCATCTGAGAATAGTTTTCAGGCTTTCTTTCATTCTTTCATCACTAATAGAGATACAAAAGACAGTGGTGCCAAGGTTGACAGTTCCCAGAGAATACTGTGCAAAGACACAGCTCAAGTGCTTGGCTCTGAACAGACATAAATAATCGGTCAGTGACAGAATCGAAGTCTTAGATCAACACTTTATTGCTTCCTAATGATATAAAATAGAAACCAACTGATCCCCAGATAGCCCTATATAAAAGAATTTTCATTGCTATTAGGTAAGTGCAAACTCCTCCTTACTCCTCCTCCCCCCAGTAAGAGGCACATGAAAATAGGAATTGTTTGCTAGAAACATGGCTCAGAGAAGCTATGTAAAGAATTAACTTACCCATCTACAAGTCCATGCTGCAAAATAAGTCTCTGAGCCTCTTCTCTAGAGATTTTATGATGAAACCATGACTGAGATCTGTGTATAGCTGTAGAAAAAAAAAATAAAAAAAAAGATCGGTGAAAAAATATTTTCCCTTTTTKAAAGAACCAGTTATTGCATTTCTCTGACCAGGAATGAACTCACACATACCCATGTTAGACATGGCAATAGGACTACCATGTGAGTTGAGTCGGAGACACCCTCTCCTCTGCATGAGAGAGAAGCAAAAACATGACTTCAAAGCTCTTTTGTTAAAAAAAAAAAAAAAAAAAAAAAAAAAAAAAAACTCTTTTATAAAAAAAAAAAAAAAAAAAAAAAGAAAAAAAAGCAGAAAAAAAAACAAATCAGAAGATACTATTGTGATAAATCAAAGATGTTTATACCCGCCATGCTAATCCTTCTTCAACTGCAACTGAAAGGGCTTCTGTTGGATTTTCTATAATTCTGCTTCTGTGTCCTGAGAAATCCATTGCTACTAAAGAATTTTCTGAAATACTTCTCTGCAACAAAGAAAAATAAATTYAGTTGGTTCATTTTTTACAAGATTCATCATTTAAAAGTGAGCTTCTGAGAAAATATTATGCTTTGTAAGTGATGCTTCAAGTATTGGCAGTGTTTYCCATCAGAAGCAAACTCATTTTACCCTAGGGAGCATTTGTAATTCCAGTATGCTGCTGCAAAGCTCAATTTTACAGTCTGGCAGGACAGATCATCTTTTTGCATTACTGCAATGGATGATAAATACATCACTTTACCATAAACCATATTTATCTTTTTAATTATAACTAGTCCTTTGCATGTCAAAACAAGTCAGGAAACTGTTATTAAGATGTCCAAGGAACAGGGGAAAAAAGATAAAATCCAAAATTATTATATGTAATGACCAAATTTTAAAATATTCAAAATATTTCAGTAGAAATATGTCAAATTTATATATTGCCATTAAACTTCCATTCAGTTTACTATATTTGAGCATTGAAAACAGCAATTTCTAYRGARTATAACTTTTATTTTAATACATCCMTTTTAACTCTWATCACAGACTCAATAATTGCAGCATCTGCTATTAAAAAAGACTGTGTTTTTTTCTCTCATGAAGATCAGATTTGTAGCAAATGAATAAAAGCATTGAAGTTTGACAAAAGAGTCCTAAAAATCACCAAAATGTTTCTCAGAAACCAAGGTTTGCAAAATCAGGTTTTATAAGGATTGGGATGGCTCAAATGTTGGCAGGCACTGGAATATCTAATAAATAAAAGAGCATTMTAGCACTCTATAATTTAAAGCAACATCTGGACAGGAGAAGCCCAGATTTCTGTAGGGTTAGCAAAGCTTCCCAGTCCAAACCCAGAGCAGTTCTGTTTTGGTTTTGCTTGCTTACAAGCATGAATATAAGTAGATCTGTAGTTCACTGTAATTCTTGATGTTGTAGATAAGGTCTATCTGAGTGTAACCTGTAAAGAACTTTGCAAAAGTGAAAAAACAAGGGCAAAATAAGAGAAAAAGTTTGCCTCTAGCAGAGTGGAGRGAAATCTTTGCAGCTGACATGGTTGACAAATTCAGGAATGTGAAATGTGGAAGAGGCTTCCTTATGAAGTATGTTCATTCACACGTGCACCTAATCCCCAGATKATTCAATTTACTATTTAATTTGTGAATTATACACAAACAGAAAAACAGTGCCATTGTTAGCAATGGGTACAGATTCTGCCTGTTAGAATCTATGGGAGCTAGAATGTACACAAGAGAGAAAGAGGAGAGAATCAGTAATGGCTCCCAGATCCATCGTAAGAGCAGCAGCTGGATATTGCAATAGCTTTACGTAACACAAACTAAAGACACRGGCAGCGTATTAAGCACAATTTTGAAGCCATGCTTATTAGCAAGATCACTGACAACTATTTTTGTGAACACTTGTGATAGCAAATGCATTTATTGGCACTTTATCAGCAAGAACTATAATAAAAGCTAAAAAAATCCACCATAAAATCACCGTCACAGATTCCAGCAACAAGTAATTTTTATCCAATTTAGCCAACAAAAATCACAAAAGGGATATAAAACGTCCATGAAACAGTCTGAAATCAAATGACTCATAATGAGCTGGGATAACATACCAAGAAAAGGACAACCTAATCCAATCCCAACTATTTGACTGAGGAGATGGACACAGTACCTAGTATAGGCTGTGTTTTCCCCAAAACAGGACAGACCATCTGCCAAATTATGGCCTTCCTCYGAAGTCCAGTTAGTATTACACCAGCTGAAATTCATCTCAAGTACTTAACATTTTCTACTTTTTAAAAAATTAAAAGAGGTAGTATACTGAAAAGGATTTGTTACAACCTTATTCATCAGCATGTGTAACCTTACACACCGCTTCTCTTTTAATGCATTTATAGTTCTGCTGCTTTGTTTTCAAAATCCTCTTTCCATTTAGCAGCGACAATAAGACAATGAACTTCCAAAATACTGAAGATTTTACGAAGGGAAAAGCCTTTTACCTGGTTTATACTAAGTAAGGAAATGAATTAATTTGCTCTCTAGTCAACCCTGACAGCCCTAAATATTTCGGCAAGCACTGGCACATGCAAGGTTTTGAAGGAGCAGGTCAGTAGTGTAACTGACACGAGTCATTTGAAAAGAGCACGATGGCAGAAACATGTATTTATTCATGGAGCTACTGTGGGACATACCATAGGTGTTATATTCAAAGGGCTGCAGCCACTTCTACCTTGATATGGTTGCATGTAATTCTGATACAGCTGCATCCCATACTAAAACCAGAAAATAACATGGTTAGCATCTTAAATTATAAACCTAAGCCAAGTAAGGTTTCTTTTTCAGATGTAAAAGATAGCACACCCTTTTCTTTACCATTACAAACCAGGGACAAAAGCGGCTAGGCTAAGGAAACGTACATCATCATTGTTGCTGCAGCCTTATAAAGGTACACTGTGCATTAAACACAACCCATTTAATATACCAACTGGCCTGTTTCTATTTTGTCACAAACAGTCACACTTTAAAAACAATAAAGTTCCCTTCTTGTGTATTCTTGTGGCTTTATTCAACATTACTCAGCCATCTCACTGAATTCAACATGGTTACACATAAGCATATGCTTAATGTTAAATAATTTCAGGACTGAGGCATCATTCCATTTCCTACAATGATTCCAGGAATTTGGTATCTCTCTGCTTGCTGGGATGAAAAAAAAACCTCTCAGAGTACAAAACTGATATTGCTGTTGCAGGGGAACCTAAAATTATATTACTTCTCCACTCAGAGCATCAAAAAAAAATCACATAGGTCACTGAAGCAAGAACTTAACTCCACATGGAAAAATTACCTTGAGTAACCTAATTGCTGTCATCCAACAGGTCCTACTTTGTTCATCATCTGCACAGAGCTGTTTCAGGTCTCTGGTTCCTCCTGATTTGTTAGGCTAGAAGGCCACAGCACATTTTTTTAGCATTAAAGCATATCTTGAAGATAATACCTGTTGAAATAAAAGCCACTAATTCTCCTATTTTATAATAGACAGCTGAATATTGCTTTCAAAATCCTTAATGAAACTTAAGCTTACCTAAAAACTGTGGCTTGCTTTAATATGTATCAGAATAATAAGCTTGTACCTTAAAGCAGAATCCATAGTTTGTTGGTGCTCCAGAAATCTTTTTGCCTGTTAAAGACATGTACATATCACTATTGCTGAATTCACAGAAAAACTGCAGATGCCTTGGCTCCTAAAAAGAAAAGCAATGTAATACAGTTAGACTACTTTTAGCCAGCCTCTCCACAGAAAAAACTTGGAAGAGTACAGTAGTTATCCTGTTCCAAAATACAGTCTTACATACTGCAGTTTTAACCATGACATCATGAAATCTAAAAAGAGGCAACTCAAAATTCATGTCATAATGCAGAGGGGGAAAAAATCAAATTAGTTAAAGAGTTTATTCTTCCAGAGAGGGAAAAAAAAACCCMAAAAAGTTATATAATTTCTGAGAAAACTTCCACTAAATTCAAGCCATAAAAGTATTAGAGTCAAGTTATTAGAGCAGTATGCATTTCAAATATCAAAATAAAATAAACTTTCATAATCTGAAAAACAACATACTGTTATAATTATTGCCCATACACTATTTATCATCATTATCTCTACCTGGTAAGGCTAATTATGTCAGCAAAACAAAGGTAATTTCCTCTAGGATACAAAYCAGCTCTTTGGCAGGTAATTACAGAAAATCCAAAACAAGAATTAAAATTGGTTTAAGGAGTTGATGCAAAAGGTATCTCACCYCCAATGTTTAATATAAGGTTTAAAGTACCACCATTAAAAATTGGAATTAGCAAAATGAAAAACTGTCAAGTGACAAATTTTGAGAACTCCCAAAGTTATCCTGTAAAAATGACTTTAGATAACGAATTAATATATCCACTTATCAGATCATTTACTCATACTTCAGAAATTTAACTAGTATTTGAAAATTCATTTTAACACTCTGTTATGAGAAATATCAACCAGAATGAAGCAAACTTCTCAGGCAAAAAGAAACTACAGTTTCTARGACAACACCTTTCCAATTTTGTATTTCCCTATCTCTTTATAATAAATAGATTTATTTCATTTTTATCACTATAAGTTTAGTTATTGGTTATAAATTTTGRTTATTATTACAACAAATGATAAATACATACAATTTGCTCTGACTTCACAGTTCTTGCTCTCTTGTTTTTTTTTCCTCCCTTACCTTAGATGTACCTTTGGTGGAAAAATAAAGGCCAGATCGTCTCAAAAGAAAGTACAGTTTTTTCCATGATTTTTTTCCCTGCTCCTTTGCGTGCAAATAGCCATGAATCTCAGGATATGTGCTGGAGCTTAGGAACATCTGAAAGAAAGTATCAGACATGCATTTTCCTTTTCCTCTGAAACTAACTTTGYGTTTCATTAACATACTCAGACAGGACTAAGGGGAATAACTCCTAAATACTCTATCACACCACAGTAATTCAGTTATGACTGCATCTAATCCCATTAACAGTWCCCTGATTTAAGGCACGTAGAATGTTACACAACTCCAAGGTATGCTAAGCAAGTTTCATATTTATATGGAACATATGGTTTGAACTGAGAGCTTTAGTTCTGCAATATGTGAACTACAGCAACAAAACCAGAGTAAGAAGTACTGATCCCAAGCCTCAGACCCTATTTATATAAAACTGCTAATGAGTGCTTCCAACAGAAGAAAAAAATCACATCACTTCCCTCAACCAGCACATTACAAACCACAGAAAAGAAATAATTTGATTTAAAATTAATTCAGCAAACCACACAYTCTGAATTACAAAACCATGCAGGTGAGGCAGATATTTGCATTTTCCAAAGGAGGGAATAGAGGTCTCTGCCCCTGAGAGGTATTAACTAGGAGCTTCAATTGAACCAAAACCAGAGAGACTGGCCAGTCCCCAAGACAGCTCCTCCTGAAAATACTCAGTGGCTTCTCTTTATTTCATCAGACACTGTCATAGTGCAACACAGCTCTTTTCTTGCTGAGGCTTAGACACACTTTTACTCAGTCTGCAAAAGTACCCAGTCAAAATAAGCAAAGATGTTAACTTCATCCTAATTCCATGTAATGTGTTCATTTTTATCATTCTTCTTCCAGTAATACTACTCAGAACTATGACTCTAAACATGTTAACCCAGAATTCTTTTATTTCCACATGTGCAAAGGAATCTGTTATTGCTGAGTTCTTCAAGGAATCTTGCCCCAGAACTGTCCTGTGGTATCATAAATTTTGTCAAGGCTTATACAGAGGTATGGACAAAGTATTTTCTGATTGATATAGGTAGTTTTCATTGCTGAATTTTCCTCCTATACACTGCCATTTCCAGAAAATCTTATTTGAGGAGTGAAGCAACAGATTACAAGGAAAGAGATGGACTGGCCATACCTGACTCCTGCAGAATGAAAAAGTGAATGTGATTTTGGAAGCACACAGAGTTCTCTGGCCACTAAATAATGCAGTCCAGCCAAGAYACACAAGTTTTCTTTGACTTTTATTGTTTTGCTGCCTTGCAGAGAGATGCATGACTGCATCTGAGATGCATGCAGACCAACCTGAGCTGGTGTGAATGCACTAATGCAGACAGGCTCCAGTGGCCAGGGGAGCACCCCAGCCTGCCACCAGGACTGCAACAGGGGCAGCYTCACTGCTGTGCACCTGAACAGTTCCATTACAGAAGGACTAGCTACAGCTATCTACCCGTGCTGCTGACACACAGCGGTGTGCAAATGYAGTTTAAGCTATTTTAGCCACACCRAAAGAAGATGGGTAGGTCTTGGTACGTGTTCTGGCTGTTAATCTTCCCATTTGCCACGTACTAACAGGTTCACTGGTGGGAAATATAAAGGCAGAACTGAAAAAGTGTAAAATTCACAAACAAAATCAAATGGAAGACTTAGGAAAAATCTAAACGAGTCAATGTATGCAAAAACAAAAGAGCATCTTTTTAGGCTTAAATGTCTCTGCTGAAGCTGAAAGGAGTGGTTGGCTTCCTGCCTGCACAAGTGTCTTCCCCAGGATTTCTGCCATAAGAGCTTCAAACCAGAAATGCTGTCATGAAAAACACTTTTCTTACTCAGCAGACCAGAGTGGAGGAGCAATACAATGCTAAGCTTCAACAGCCACTGTTGTACCCCGTGCTATCAGTTAAAATAAAGTAGCAGTAATCCCAGGAAAAAGGCAATCCTAAATCCATCTTTTCCATACTAAGACAGCTGAGGACTGTGTGAGAAAATAGAACATGAACAAGCTGTAGTCAAAACCATTAACTGTCAGAAGGATGAGCAGTAAAAATATTTCAGAGTGAGAACTGAATGTCTGTAATAAATGCCAAAAATGAATGATAGTAGAAAAGAAAATTTCCTTGGGTTGTTTTTAGTTTCAGGTTGGTTTTGGCTGAGATTTTTTTGTTGCTGTTTTGTTGGGTTTTCTTTAATGGAGGAACAAACAAGATTATTATAGGAGGGAATGGATCCCTGTTTTTGCAGATTAGCTAATCATAATAGAACAAAAATAAGAAAAATCCTTAATACGGGAAGAAAAGGGGACAGCTAAATGATGGCATGCTGCAGACAGGGAATACTGGACACACAATGTATAGAAATAAATTTGCACCTTCTTCCCCACACCCTGATATGTAGAGTAGTGTCAAATCACACCACGTCTTTCAGATACTGAGACAGASAGCACCAAGTCCTTGATTGACATTTGATTAGCTGTAAACCAACTAATTTAAAACGAATCTGAACAAGAAACAAAGCTAATAAGTCTTTTGTCATAAAAAAATAGAAAAAAAACTTAAACAAAGAAACAAAATTTCAAACCAATCAGAAAGTGAAAAAACAACAGAWTGAGAAAAACATTGCACTGTCTTGGATGAATATAATAATAATGAAAAATGCAGAAATCCTAGATGTCACTGAATACAATAAAGATTGAGAGCTGCACTCCTAACTGTAAAACTTACTTGTCTACATCTTCAATACTTTCAATGAAAGAATGGCTTTAGTAGCAGAAACAACATCTGCTAAGGTGGATGTTTCTTGAGCATTTACCCAGTGTTTGGGGGAGTTAAARAAGCCATCATTATGCTCAGACTGTGAATCAAGTTGAATTTGATTATTGATTTCTTCAAAGATGTGRTGACAGCTAGCCATGATCCAGACSAATACYACTGGGAATGAGCTGGATTTTYATCCTGAACCTGCTGGGAAATTTTKGGGGCACCAAGTAATTCTAGTGAAGAATTGATTCTGAATCTCAGTRTTGGCTCCAAGAGACTTCAGTCAGCCTGAGAGGTTCAGACTGGAAGGTCAACAAAAGATACAGTGGAAGACAGAGTAAGGCAATGGGGAGRTTAAAACATGCAGGGGACTGAAAAGAGACAGAAATTCAGAGCAGCCTGTTCCAGCCTGAAGAGTGGAAYGGCAGTCAGGTGAGAAACTGGTTASAGAAAGGAGGACTTGCTATGGCAGAGAGATTGAAGAAATGAAAGCCTGGCTCTTAATAATAATCTTAAAATCTTCATCATACGTTCATTTTTGACATATTTTAAAACATCCGATTTGCAAAAATATTCTAAAGCAAGTTCCAAATGACCCAGACTGCCCACCACTGGACACGTACATACAACATGTGTATCTCAGAGCAGCAATATCCTGATCCATACAGTGACACATTTCTCTTGTAGCCTAAAAATCTTCATGGCAGCAATCTCTTTGGTATTCACAGACATTCAGTACATCCCAAACCTAGTCATTTCACTTAGCACATGCTAAATGGGTAGGAGACAGGTGAACTTTCCTTCTGGTTTTGTGGCTCTGTTCTACAAAGATTTRAAGTCATCAGCCAAAATACTCACTCTTGCACTTTCAATGGAAGCCAACAAAAACATACCTGAAAAATATTTTACTTGCTTACAGCTCAACCCACAAAAGGATGTAAAAGCACCAGAAGTGATTTTTTAATCACTTGTAAGCATTGAATTGTCAAACTTACATCTCTCTTGATATTTAACTGAGCACATCACAAATAATAATGCAACCCCATTAACTTGTCTTAATGAAAGTTTCCAAGGAAATAGTGACTCACTGTAAACAATTCATCCAGCAGCTTCTGCTGAAACGTGCACAATGGCTGCACAATCCACCAAGGTACTCTCTACTTTGTGCCTATAAAGTTTTCTTTGATGAAATAAATTAAACATACAATGCAACACAAAATAGCAACAGAGGAGAGTTTGCAACATGTTTTTCAAGTTGCCAAAATGGCAAGTAAATAGATGTATTTTGAATTCTTAATTCTTAATCTTACTACTAGCTTTGAACATATTCTAGATCTCACACTATGGGCTTAAAGAAGTCCTGCACAAGAATACATGGTAAACTYACAACAATCTTTATTTTTTTTAACTACTAAATTACCTTTGTAAGCAAAAAAATATAAAATTCTATTAACACAGGGAACAGGATTTTCTAAATTAAATATSTACATTAGACTGCAAAATCTGTGTTATTTAAGTGGCAAAAGTGAAACAATTTTCATTAGATTTGCATCACTTTTGAAATCMCAAAGATTTTATCTGGGTTTGTAAAAATTACAGAGTCTAGTGTGTGTCAAATTTGATTYGTGACATTTTTTACCCTATTTGAGATAATCTTAACATATTGATTAACACCCACTTTTACAAGGATATAACTATTTAATATGAAGGAATGTTTTGAGAATTAGTGATTTAAAATGGTTTTMATTTTACTGGTGGATGCTAAGGTASACTTCATCATATAGATTTTTWAAAAACTGTAGTTTCTGTGATTTTTTTACTTTTACCCTAAATATCCTTTTATTATGGTGCCTTTCCAATYGTTCTTTATCCCTAAAACTCACACACAGTGTTCCTGCCTTAAAACCAGTTGAAGTTCTTCTTCTATTATTTAATTTTTCTAATGACAAGCAAACAAGAGTGATGTGTGTGTTTCCACCTTTATTACTCATTTTTCCCCTCTTTGAYGATGATCCCTGATATGGTCATTCTGTACTATCATTTCACTATTCCTACTGTAAATTAGAATCTTGTGTCTGCTTAAAAGATGACTAACACTGAGTGACCTACCATAATTCTTTTTGAAGGCTACAGTAGTGTTTAAGCTAACAAATCATATTAATCAGTCGAATTTTTTTACTCGTCAAGTTTAACCATTTAACTCTTCTATATCCACTTGTGTCACATCACCAGTTCTTTGGTATTCTACCACAGCCTGCTGCTGTGTTTGCTCAGCACTCCACCTATTTGAAGAAAAGAGGTCTTTCACCTGAAATATCTGATGAAGGTATTTAATGCTTTCACTGTATTTTGTCTGGTTTGGTGCTTCCTGATCCTGAAAGGACGTGCAAGCTTTTGAGTGCGGACATATAATAGCTACCTGGAAAGGGCACATAGTATCATATCTCATGAGGAAAAAAAGTTATTAAMCATGTCTTGAGTTATTCAAACCCTAGCAACAGATCCCACAGCAAAAAGGAACTATTCTCACACAAAACAGATTATGGGAAATTCTGAGCTGTGCTGGCTCATCTTCCTTCAAGGATTACATACCTGTAATATCCCAGAGTGGCTTAGAGCTGCACTGGTCTCACTTGGAAAAGATATCATATGATCYGGAAAAAAGCTCTGTGACAAAAAGAATTTGTATCAAAGTTCTGTAGAAATAAATACAAAAGTTTCTATCTCTTTCAATATCAACAGCAATTTCAGTTCTCAGTGTAGTGCAAGACACTGCAGATTCCCTGAACCAATAATTTAAGCTTACCTTAATATCATCCCAAAATTTTTCACATATTATATATTATTTGCTGAAAAACTTAGAATTTTGAGAAAACACTGTAGTCTCTGGAAGAGGGTTTCAGACACCAATGCATATCATATTGCAATATCTGGCCCTTAATGCAGTTTTTTTGACAGCAATTTCTATAGCTGTTGACATACAAGATTTACCTGGGAATTCAATGTGCTACAAAGTAAGGAGACTATACACAAAAACACTGAGGAGTGTATTATTTTCTATTGTTTTCATTCCATTAGAAACCCAGTAAAATATTTTGGAATAACTTCCACTGACACAGAACAAGTCATCCCAGGTTTTTTTTAATCTTCTATTGTTTGTAAGATACAAACAAAAAAATCAGACTACATCAACATGGTGGGGTTAAAAAGTCTACATTTGAAATGCCAGTTCCATTATCAAGGAAAGCTCAAGGGGCAATTTATAGGACAGACCTGCTGCTGGGATGTTCCATACAGTCATGCAGATATGAAACAGGCAAGGGTTTGACCATCACAAATAATGTTTTCTCAAGGCCTRGGCAAGTTTGAAGTTAATATTCCCTTGGCCACCCGATGTCCATCAATTTCCATTTTTTATGAAATTGAACTGTTGGCGGGGTTAATTCATATCAACTCATTCTGATACAGCATCCTTGCCACATCTGAGACCAGAACACCCAGCAGAATTCTGATTATCTATAGCTGCTGAAGCTGCTGAAGCTGCAGGTCTGCCACACTCCTCATCTGGTTCCACTCACTGGCTAAACAATACACAAACTTAAGTCTTTGGAAGCAGCAGACAGGAACTGATGCACAGAAAGTCCCATCTGAATGTGAGGAAGAAGTTCTTTACTGTGTGAATGATCACACACTGGAACAGACTACCAGAAAGGTTGTGGGGTCTCTCTCAACAGAGATATTTGAGATCCCTCTGGATGCGATCCTGTGCCRTGTGCTCTGGGACAACCCTGCTTGAGCAGGGAGGTTGACCTATTCWGTAATTCTGAGAAAGCCTCTTTAATAACTATAGACCATCTCAAGCTTAAAAAAAATTCACTGATAGAGTGATATCTCCATATCGGGACAAATCTATCATGATTGGTCCAGAGACACATAGGGGAATCAAACAAAAAACTCTCATAACTCATATTTTTTGTTATCTTTATATTTACTTTTTTATCCTTTTCACGGGTAGATAATTTGAGTTCACTTCCACTTTTTACCTTTTAAGCCCTCACACAATTCTGCTGTTTCTCCCTTCTACATCTGAAACAAGCTGGCTTTGTAAGAGACAGCATCAGGAGTGGTCCAAATACACCATGGAGCAACCAGATGGTAAGTTCCTTCTGTTGAGCTAGGACTGCTTGCATGGCCTTTGCCATCAGCCAAGGTCTGAATCAGCAGCATTAACCTTTGGCAACATGCCTGAGTTACAAGTTGTCTCTGCTCTCTTTCCATTCCTTMTGTACACTAACTTTGGCTTCACTTTCACTTACCCCTAATAGGTTATGGCTGCTCATGGCCTTTTGTGTCAGCTGTCATTTAGCTACAGCTGGGAGAAACTGCCATTGGGCAGGGCTGGGCCAGAACATTCAATTTTCACTTCAACAATGAAATCATCTTAGCTATAAGTGCCTCTTCTCACATTGCCTGATTTTATATTTTGTGGTCACTTCATGAAAAATTCATTCAGTTGCAAAAATGTTATTTTGTTGTAGGTCTGTGTGCAAATTTCAATAAAATTAAACCCATTGCTGCTCCCATCATCCTCCAAAATAAAAATTGAAGGTGAATGCTTTACAGTTTTAACAAAGGGGCCAGGCAACAGTTACATATACTACAATATATTCCTCTATTTCATATATTCCTTCTCAATTATCCCTTTTTACTCATGTTGCACTAAAAAATTTAAACTCTGACTATCTGTGTGCAACAAAAAAGACTCTTTTTTAGCAACAGCAATTGTACCATTTCACTGATATAATATTAGGACTTACCAGGGGATTTTTAAAAAACTCATACTTTGCATAATTTTTTCTAAAGTACAGTTTGGTTTCCTCTTCCATTACCCAATTTGACTGGACTTCCATCACTAATTCATGGTCTTCTATAGCTCTTCCTATAAGAAAAACAAACAAAGTTTATAAAAAACAAAAGCAAATATTAAGCCCAGGACTACCAGTAAGACACAAAACTCTCATAATCTACAGATAAAGTAGAACAAAGTTAAACTTCCACTGAATTTAACTCATTCTTCATCGAATTTAACCAACTCTTGAGTGCATAAAGACAGAGATTAAGGATGCTATATGAAAATCACATTTTGTAACCAGATTAAATGAAGCAAATAAAACCATAAAGAAATTCAGCAAACAAAAAAATACCCAAAAACTGTGAAAGAAAAATAGGCATTGTACACGCTGCTCTACTCAGAAATACATTCTTCAGATGCAAGGGCAAAAAGACACTAAAGAACTGAAGCTGTTTGTTAAAAACAGCATTTTCTTTCCTTTCAGTTTTATAAAGAAAAAGTGCTCCTCTGGGATGACATTTAAAACTCTTAAATGCTTGGCAYTGTGACATTTAAGAAAACACCATTTCCTCAAGACTTACTTCTTGGTTGAAAAATAAGACATTGTGCATCACYGCAAAGGATGGGTAAAGATGTTGGTATTTCTTTATTTTTAAGGTGTCACATCAAAAAAATATTTTAAAACTGAGTAAAATTTCTTGAAGGAACTGAAACACGACTGCTCTCCAAAAAACAGTAATCAAATCCCTAAATGTTGACATGAAAAAGCTGCACTTTGGTTTAGGTAGATCATTTTTGTCTCCCACCTAGGCTGCAGAGCTTCTACCTTCCTTTCTATCGTCTCTTTACTACTATCTCAAACCTGAGAAGCACCTGCTACAGTCCAAAACAGTCTCCTTAAATATGGAAAGTAGTGAATGCACATGAAAGATTTAGTATTGAAGTACRTGACAGAAAAGATTTGAAATAACCTCTTGTCTAGCCCCCCTGTAGGGAAAAAAATTAAGCTAAATAAAAAATTAGAAAGGCATTGCTCAGTACTATTGCACAGGTAGTGCTTTATRAGCCTTCCCACAGACTACCTGAAAGAATGAAATCAAAATGTGGCTGAAATGCACTGATGATGTACCTCACCCTCTGCCCAAAACAGAAGCCCCAGAACATGCGTTTCAGCTGCAAAAGCAAAGAGAAAACTGTTTACAGTCAACACAAACATTTCTCAGCAGAAAAATGTCAGGATGAAGACASTACTTCCTTAAAAAGGAGAGCAGTTATGGAAAATTGTCCTGTTTTCAGGGCCCACCTTTCTCAGGGGAATTGCAGTGGATGCATGGGATTCCCAGCAGCAAGGTACCTGGTGGCAGGGATGACATGGCATCATCCAAATGTATACACACTTCAGCTGCTTTCAGTGATCTTAGGCACGGTGAAAACCATGCAAAAATGTATTTRAATTCAATGTGTTGAGATAAAGAGAACACATACCCAAAACACACAGTTCTGCAAAACATTGATTTACAGAGCTGCAAGAACTGTTTTACTTTAGATCCTTGAAATAGAGCCCCTGCTACTGCAAAATGTCAGCGGTGGGGAGGAAGGCTGAGCTTCCAGGCTGACATGGCAGCAGCAGTGGGCTGGGTGCCCTGAGGACACAACCATCCTCAGTGTTCAACAACAGGGCTCTGCACCAAGGGGAAAATGAGTTTGTGAAAACTGAAACAGAGAAATACAGAGACCGTGGGTTTATGCTTCAGTTTAGGTGGGAGTTTTGTTGAGTTTTTTTTTCTTTTTAATCCTTCACAGCAGATACCTCCACACAGCAATGAAGGCATAATCCAGTGATGTAATTAATGTCTGTCTTGATTAAAAGTAGAACACTAGATTCATGCAATTATATCTAATTTGGGAGTATTCAGACAGCTGTTAGGTTTTAAAGAAAATGTTCAYTAATTGATGGATGAATTATTAATCCACATCATACTGGAATTTACACAGACACACACACTTGCTCACAGCACTTCGCCTTTCAATAYCAATTCACTTATGAGATAAAAATGATTGTCCAGATTTACATGGGTAAAACATACARCAATAACAAACAAAAAACAATCCCAAACTTAACTTATCATTTGAAAAATATTTGTTCAAGCTAGTCATCTAGTGCTTAAGAATATACTTAAAGCAAGTCAAGATGTGTATGTTAATTCTTTCTAACAAAATCAGATCTGACAGTATCATAAAAAAATTTCCATTATTGTTCAGTACTCAAAAAACAAAATATAGAGGATATCTCAAGTTGTTCCTTTCCTTGGCCAGTAATACTGAATTGCCAACCTCATCATCTAGGAAACAATTTTACTTTTAAAATGAAGCATTCACCTTTTTCCAGAACTAYACTAAAAGCAGCTGGAGCAATTAGACAACTGAATGGTGAATGAAGGCCATCAGCAATTTCGAGAATATCAGAATATTAGAAAAATCAATTTCACTAATTATTTGATATTGAAATCTTCCAAGAAACTTTCCAGATTAAAGAAAACACACTACTTGTCAAAAAGTATACCATGCYAATACAGAAAGCTGGAGAAACAGTGCCACTATTGTTCTGGCACAGCTTGTCAAAGGCRTCTTCTTCAATAGTTACTACACTACTTAAACAACAGCTACACTATAAACACTGAAAACACTTCTGCTATTTATATAGTACTGTTTTCTAAAGCCATTTTGCTATCTCTTCTTCTATAGCAGTCATTTACAGCCTCGACCCAGATTTAACTCTGACCTTACTCTGAGTTGGAAGCATCTTACAGCTGATACATTCAACGCAAAAGGTTACAAATATCTTTGAAATGCTACAAAGCAAGAAAAGAAATTTAAAAAACGTTTGTGTCTGCCTTCATAGGATAAAGGAGCATGAAAGAGCACAAAGTAGTTTTAGCTTTTGTAGTTCATCCTTAAAATACAGCTGTTAAACATAATTGAGTCAGAGATGCCCAGTCAAGTTTATTTTCAAATGCACAAGGCCAGATTCCCTAGACACACGCAGAGAAAGGCACTCTAACAATAGCTTTTAGCCACACTGAAATATCTGGGGGGAGGTAGGGGGCAAGTAGGAGAAATGTGTGTATGGGGAGATGGGGGGGTTGCTTTTTCATGGTGTGCAGTTTTTTTTTTAATCAAGTGCACTGGAGTTACCAAGTACCAGTGCAGTATCTTCTGAGAATTAAGAACTCCATGGAGTTTTCCATGTATTTTAGAATGCAGGAACACGTCCAGAACATCCTCTTTTTCAAGCCACACTTTGCACTAGCAGATGGAACTGCCCTTGAAGTTGCAGAAGTACTACCTTTTTTAGCTCTAGTACAGTGCCAAAGTTCAAGAATAATATGGAAATTTGGAGTGATGTGAAATTAAACCACATTTCTTATGGCACTTGTCTTCTAGTAGATTTTTTCTAACATAATTTCCTATCAAATCCATACACAATACAGTACTGAAACAGTGCTGTAAAGGGAAGTAAGACTGTCTTACCTGAGTCTCAGTTCAATATTACRTCCCAGCAGTGGGCTTCTAAATTTGTCTCTTGCTGAGTGAAGTCTTTCCTGTGTTCTGCATTTTTTACATCTCAGCAAACATCCCCTTTCTCCCTACAGTTAATTTGCTTTATGTGTTTTTATATTGCAAAAGCACACCTATACACTTCAAAAAGGAACAGAGATCAGAAATCCTATTTTGAAACCATAGATTACACATTTTATAATGTGTAATAGAAAAAGTGGAGTTTTACTCCACTAGAGGAACACCAATGATGTGAACAGAGTTCAGAAAGTTACCAGCAACTTAAAATATTACACATGGTGTCACTTCAACTTCAGTGGTCCAATCCAGAAGTTTAAAGGAATGGGTTTTTTTTCCTTTTAAAGTAGCCTTGTCCCTGAGCTCACCATAAATCTAGCCAAAATGAATGTAGTGAAGGAAAATACCGACAGCCCACTCTGGTATTATTTCTGAAGACTGAGTCCTATAGTAAAGATAAAACAGAACTGTGTAACCTCTTTCTGTCCCTGATGTCAGAGATTTYACTCAGGCATGTTGGGACTTCATCTGCAAAATAACCCAAGTCTTCCTAGACATAAGCAGAAAATTCCAGTAAGAGAGGAAGAACTGCCAAAGAAAAGCATGGCAGAGCAAGGAAAAATCTGCAGTGAGAACTGTCAGTGTCTTCCAAACCATTCCTATAGACACAGATCAAGCAGTGTGAAGCAAATGTACCATGAAAAATACCTACTTTATACCTATGCTTTCAAAAAGAATCAGAAGCAACAACCCCACAGAAGAACAAATTCACACAAGACTTCCCATCATTTTGCTTCCATGCCTTTCTTTTGAATTGTACTTCCACATGAAAATGAAAACCAAACACCTTATTTACCACCCCACCATTATATAATATCAGTCTTACCTAAACCTGTGTGGGTAAGTTGTTCAAAGAGAGTCCAGCTGTGGTCATCAACGTAGTGGTTCTTCAGTATCAGGAGCTGACACACATCCCTGGCTGTTATATCACTTGGTACTTCCAAAGCTCTGCTAGTRTCATCTTCGCTATACACTTTGATTACCTGCAATAAATAAAAACGCTAAAATCTCCAAAAGTTGAATCTTTGCTTCAGTTGCTCAGTATATGTTGCTCTCTCAGCTTCTGACTGAGACAGGAACCCACACACAGAGAATGCAACAGAACAACCAAGCAAGGCATRTCCACTTCTAAATGTGGCTGCTGACACCCCTTGCCACAGGACACTGGACAGACTGGTGCATTAAAAATGCTTTAAAAAAAAAGTTAATGGAGAGGTAAATAAGTATAGTGAAACTGCACATTATTAAGTAAGCTGAMAAAGAAACCACAAAGCATGAACAGTGAAATTCAAGAACTCTGTGACTGCAGAACTGTAGAAAGATTTGAGACAGGAGTCATTTCAGAGAATGACAATCAGACTCGAGGTGCTCACAGCTCTGTAGACAGTAAAAACAGGAGATGCTACAGAGCGGCTTCAAATTTTGACAGGCAAGAACTGGACTTCTTGCACACACATCCTCAATGTAAAGGGTGTCCAAGATGCTTTTAACTGACAAAATACTCCTCTCAGTTTATTGAATATATCCATATTCATGAGAATGCAAGACACCCCTCTCCRGAAAGTTATGCACAAAAACTAAATACCATTGTAAACCCCTCATTAAACAGCAAGATACAAGTTCTTACTTCAAAGACAAATAAGCCTTTTATTGTCAGTCATTCTTAACAGCTCCCTTATCAAATACATGCTCATTTCAAGCATCTAATAAACAATCAGCCCTAACTTGTCAAGGAAGCTCCTTCTCTRGTTTGTGCTGAAGTTGTAGGAAAGAGAGCAAGGAACTGCCACCTGCTCCTCTCCCACCAACAGAAAAAAATCCAAAAATAATTTTAAAGAATCAGGTCATCTCACTCATGCTTTCCAAACATCAGACCAAGGAAAAAAGGACTCCATTTGAAAACCACACTGGGACTTTAAAGCACCCTGATGGCCTTATTCCTCTCTAAAAACCTGTTTTTCTCAGTGGAACTAAACAGATTACAGAAGTTTGGTTACAAACTCTGGTCATGCCCATTAAATGATCATGAAGTCCATGACAATTTGCTTCAATATTTCACCTAATAAATGCTGACAGCTCAAGAGTTCCACAKGATCTTCAGCCATCCTTGCCATGACATCACTCTTTGGGATATGGCAAACATTAAATTCATGCTCCTAAAGTGCTGACAAATCTCTTTCTACTTATGAACCAAACACCTCAAAGCTGAGTCTTTCAAGGGAAAAAAGCAGACCTTGGAGAAAGTAGATCCAATGTTTCCACAGGCCTAGGCTGCAGCCCAGTACTTTCATTAATACAAAAGGCAAAAAGACCACATTGCTACTGAATTCAATCCTGCCAAAGCAGCCATGGRGGATGGCTGTGGTTGGTTTTGTAAGATGTCTATGCTTTGGCAGTGCTCCCACTGCAAAGCAAGAAGGACCAGCAGCAATGAAGCCTGCTTGCAGCAGAGCCTGGTTCCACACCCACAACCTAAAGCCCTGCTCCAGTCATACAGAAATGAGAGTTGACCATTTGGGATAAACCAGCAGTAATTATTTAAATTCCTCTACTATTTACAGTGATTGAAAGATGAAATTAAAAGATGTGTCTGGCAGGGTGCACTGGAATGGGATGGAGGGCTGTATGAGTGACTAGATAAAGCGTCCCATCACCTTAAAACAAGTTCTACTCGGGGCAGCATTGAAGGCCAGGGACAGAGTTCATTAGTTTCCCCAGCAAGTCTGTGCCAGGCTGAACCTAAAGAATTATACAGGCTGAAGCACAGAAAGGAGGGAGACAGTAGAGAAGGGGAAAGCAGAGGAAAGAATTAAAGCAGCTTTCCAAGTACTGACAAYCGTTGTCAGCCCCTTCCAGCTGAAATATTCTATTCTATTTCCCAATATTCTCACAATAAAGCCAGGGTGGGAATCCATGTGAGCACTCTGGTAAGGCCTCTATGGCACACAGCAGCAGCCACAGCTTTCCCCAGGCTCCCAGCAAGTTCAGAGATGTGCTTRCCTCACAGCAAGAGCCATGCTGAGGCCCTCGATGGACATTTTAACAGAAATTCTTTTTAAAGGGTTAACACTCACAGCGCARATGACTTCACTCTTACTGCTAAAGAAACAGAAAAAGAGTTTTTAAAATGCTGGATACAGCAATGCAAGTCATGATAACGAGCTCCCTGTGGCCACTCAGCTCGGGGAGAGGGAAGCCTTGGAGGTGGCCTTGGACTACTGCAGCTCAGCGAATGCAAAACAAAACAACACAACAAAACAAGGAGAAAAAAAAAAACCAGCTTATACTCTCTGTGAGTGTTCTCTCTCAGTTTGCTTGATGTAGGGAAATAAATCCTGCTCAAGTCTAGGMCAATGCATCACCCCAGCTCACAGCTATGATGTGGAACCTTATAAAACACAAATGCTGTGCACTTTTTCTCTTCCTTGCAAGGGATTCACATGCAGCAGATGACAACAGACAGTTACCTCACAGACTCTCATCAACTTCCCTCACATTTTGCTTAAYGAATTGGACATGAATTTACATGCTGTAAATCTCATCAGTCAGAGTGATCTTTGAGGGTTTTTAAATTAGAGGTTGCTCAGCCTGCACTTCGTGCTATGCTTGAAGCAAAGTCTCTCTCAAAAAGAGAGAGAATGTATTTATTTATTTATGCTTGGAATGTATTTATTCCAAGGGCAGTGGATCAGATGAAAAAGGATAAATTCAAAATCCATTTTTTCCCTGGAAATGTGTTGCAATAGGATGCTCTAAGACTTAAAAGGCAGCACAGCTATGCTAAAGATGCAGCTGTGCTGACCTCCTATACAGATGAGTAAGCTTGAATGATCACTTAAYTTTTATTAGTGGTTATCACCATGCATTTGGCTGGCCAGTCATCTCCACTTTCTTCTATTTCTTTTCCCTGAAAAATTTGTCAGAGAAGTAGCACCCAAGAAAAGAGCTGCTAATTGAGAACAAGCTCCCATTTTAGTTTTCGTTACCCTACACTCTCAAACTTTATTCCAAAGCAAGCTGTTTTACATCCCTTGACTATACCTATTTGGAGACAGAAAAAGTTGCCTCAGCAGCACCAAAATATTCGTTCCGGTCTAGTTTATAAATACAAGGAGATTTTAGTTCTTCCTAAGGCTGGAAAAAGAAACACCTCAATAGCTTCTACTTAAGTCACCAGAAGTAAGAAATAAGCAGCTCCAAGATCTTCCTATAAGAGGAAAACACCAARTTCAGCATGACAAACATTAATCATTTTCACTGCCTATGGGAGCAGGCATRGAGGTAAAGCATCCTTACATGTTCTGTTTCAGTTTTTCCATACACTGAAAATCAGCAAAGATCCCACAATTATGTGCAAGGCATCTTTATCCCTCAAAAGAATTGTTTTTATAAGAAATGTTGCTCCAAAATAAAACTTATTATTGTTTATATTTTACTAATCATGTGAACTCAGAATGTAAAATAAATGTTTACAAATACAATTTAGTATTTAACAGAAGAAAAGAAAAAAAAGACCCTATTTTTTACACTAAAAAACAATCAGAAGAAGCAAAAAATCAGCAAGTGCCTAAAAGAATAAATAAAAGAGCACATAAGGTAAGCAGTGTGGGAGGAGGGGGGAGCAAGAGAAGCAAAGCTGGACTCCACTCCCCCGAGTTTTCTTCCACACTCAACCRTCATCCTCACTACAATAATTAAATAATGCGTTCGTAGACTTTTAAGAGAGAGTGTCCAAGTCTRATTCTTCAGAATCTTCATGCCATCTGTTTCGGAAGTTCCAATCTGCAGAAACAGCACAAACATATGCCCTGCACTGAGGAATTTAAAATTTCAAACCAAAGTCCTAACGTGTGAAAAAAGCCAGGTAGACCCCACAGAAAAAGAACCAGCAGCACAAGGATTCCATATTTAGGAGCCTACACCAATATGACCTGACATTTATACGATAACTAACGCTTCTCTATAGCCACTGACACAGTGGGTAGTCAGCACCTTTAAAAAAAAATCAGGCCACTTTTATTTATAAAGATAAAAGCACCTAACTTTAGCTTATGAATTCTAAAATTATTCCCCCCTCCCCCCAAATAAAACACTGCACATCTTTGTACTTGTATTATAATTTCAGTCACATTTTTGTTAAATGCACGGTTATTGTATGCAAAACCAGGCCTTGAAAAGTCTGATATCCAAGGTGTCATACCCTTGAAATGTTGCCTGATAGTCTAACCCCTCTCTTTAGTGTTACCAATCAGGTTCTTTGCCTGCAGCATTTGTTCTCCAACTCCYCGCCCTGCTGCCTGCTGGATAAAGTTTTTTGCTTATTGATACTGGCAAAGGGTAGGGGAATTTGGAGTGTATTTTAACTACAATGGAGGTGCTTGGGAATTTCTAGCATTTTTGAACTGGATTATGACTCGCAGAAATAGTCTTGGTTTTAGTGAGAATCAGGAAAATTCTGCATTCAYAAAAATATTTAAGAGGTTAACTCACGACTTGTCAGAAACAAACAGCATGTTAGTAAAGTTTATTGTCTTACTAGCTGTAAATGCAAGACTTTCCCTTTAAATATCCCAGTCTACACTTAAAATGTCAGCTCCCAGTATCTCCTCCAAAGAGAAGATTTCCAGGCCAAAAGGATTCAGTTTGCAGAAATCTACATCTGTCATTAGAACAAGGTGCATACAATGTTTAACTGCAGACATCTTGACTTCTTATTTGGAACAAGYATAGCTTCAAGAGGCAGAAGGAACACTGCTCCTATATTCTGTCTTGTAACAAAACCGAAGTGCCAAGGAAGAAAGAGCAAAGTCAAGGAAAATTGCCTACCTTTCCTTCCACCACCTAGAAAAATCTGATACCTTTTCCATAATCTAATCATTTTTAAAATGATATTTCAAAGAGCAAAAATAATGTTAATTCCCAGYCTTTACTCCAATATAAGATCATGAACAAGGTCAGTTTCCGTAGCAAATAATAAATTTGT